TTTCCTCCGTGACATGGGAAAGAAGCAGCGCCATTTTTCTTTGTAGAGCAAAATCTGTATTACTAAAGAAAACAGTAGGTTCAGGTCTAACAGAATTTCAAGCCAGGTTTCCATTTCTCCCTGGCCTCTCCTTCTGCAGACAGTGGCTATTGCTTCTACATGCTCGTTTTGTGTCCAACTATAGAACAGAATTTTTCCATAACTGTCTACGGGCCTTGCTCTCTGCTTTGCCACTTAGCACATTCTGGTTGAACTATTCTGGAACTTTATAAAGAAATTAGAAAGGGGCAAAGGGAAGTAAGACAAGAGTAAGCCAGACAGTCAATAAATGTAGCACCCAGCTTCCAATTTGGCACGTTGTGAATGTTTAAGGCATGATGGCAGGATAGAACTCACTGCCCGATGCTATAACTAAAAACAAAATCAAGCCAGGGACACACAGAAATACATGGATTCACCCTTTGTGCATTTGCTGCTCTGTGCAAAACATGCTCACACCCCGCAGCAGAACTTGCCGCATCCACATCCTGCACAGTGAAACAAAATAAGTTGAAAGAACCACTTGGAACACAGCACATCATTCTCTTGGCACAGAAATGAACAACCGACAAAACCACCCGTGACCGAGAAGTCCCATTCACCCAAATGGAAGCCATGCTCCGTTAAACGCAAGGCAATCATCCTGGGTCGGGTGTGAGGCCATTTGTTTCGTGCAGCAGACACAGGAAATGGGCCAGCTTTGCTCCAGGGCGCTCCATGGGAATTGGGATAAATCCATTGGCAAAAAGAGGTAACTGACTGTATAAAGCAGAGCGTCGAGACCTTTGCATCAACCCACAAGGATGCACAGTCTCAATGTAAAACCCAGCCGCAAAAATCTCCAGAGGCAAGAGCTCAGTGATGGGGACACATTAAAGGCCATGGGCACCAACATGGCCAACCGACGGTGATCTGTATCAGAATGGGAAGGGAATAAGAAGAAACAGGTTTCAAAACCCAGTTCCCCTTGCTTGCTGTGGAGCCTGAGCAGGCGGCCAAAACTCAACAAGTGGAGGAAAAGCAACCACTACCTGTGCTTCAGGATGAATGTTGGTGTGCATCTTTGAGAGTTTCAAGTTTACTCTTGGAGGACAATCTGTCAGCTTGCTGGCCCTGTGTGTTTCTGTTGCTTCCTCACAACAACCAATGATCTCACGCCATCTGGTGTTCAGAGATGATACTCCAATGTGAAGCAAATCCCAGTCTTTTGCAAATAAAAAGTACTGATGGTGACCTTTTGATACACTGAAACCGGCATGTGAGCAAAACAACACATCCTTAGGAATCAAAGAGAAATCCAAGAAGCAGACCCCCGATATGCATTGCATTTTAATATGTGATTTAAAAGTGGCATCGAAATCATTAGGGAAAGGAAAGTTTAGTCCTAGTTAATTAAATGGCCATATGGCAAAAAGTAAAACTAAGTTCCTACTCTGAGCCAGAAATCAAAATAAACTTGAGCAGATCAAAGAGATATATGAAAAACGTCAAACCGCACAGAAAAGAGAATAAACTATAGGTTAATGTGCATCTCTCTCAAGACAGAAAAGGCCTCTCTGGGTACAAAAACAAAAGAAGAAACTCTCTGGAATAGAATCGTAAGACTTGAAAAAGTAATTGCAACAAAAACATTATAAACAAAATCATTGTGTATTATTGTGTTACCTTCCACCCCACACACGGCCCCGCCGGTCCTCACATACCCCCAAGCACACACACCAGGGTGATCCTCACAGTCACGGCTGGCTGATATCTGAGCGGGTATTCACACCTGGGGGGTCTGTGCCCAGAACCTGTGAGCCTAACCTGCCGTCCAGTGCTCCCTGACGCTTCACATCATGGCACAAAAAAAAGTGGTCATTTTTGTGGGGCCCAGCAGGATAAACGGAAGAGACTGCGGACAAACTGGCCCACACTTGACAGAGCAACCCTGAAGGCCAGGGGGTGAGCCCCTCAGTCTCGCCCATTCACAACCCACCTGCTGGGAAGCTGTGCGGTCACTTTTCCATACCCAGAACAGAGTTCTAGAAACCCCCCACCCATCCCTCCATTACATCTGTGTGACTGAGAGAGGGGCAGTGTCAAAATAAACTTGACAAGCTCAGCGGCCAAACGTGAAACCATAGGCTGCTCTGATCCTAAGTTCCCAACTTGGCAGGCCATGGTAGGTAGTCACATCCCAGGCCTGTGGCTTCCTTGGCAAAGGTCGATCCTTACCTTCCGTGAGTCCTGTCCAAAGCTCTTAGGCATCTAGGATAACACACCTTTGAAATGTCGGAGTAATTGTCTTTTCTAGACCCCAGTAAGGCACAGCCACAGGCACCAGAACACACAGGACCACCACAACAGGAGACCACAGAACCCCTCATTGTTATCTTGTTCCCCAAATACATCTCTATGTGCCATAAGTGTAAATTCTTAACTATCCTGTATGAACCGATGTGAAAGAAGTACGTGTTTCTCCAGTCTGCCTTTTGTGCAACCGTGGAGATATCTGCACTTTGCTTTCTCCCACCTCCTAAACCTACCACCGATGGATTTCATGCACATTTCTTATGTCTTCTCCTTTGGTTCTAAATGCATAAAGAAAACTGCAAAACTGACCTTCTCTAGAGCATTTTTTTTTTTCAATCCATTGAGACTTTACTTCCCGCTGTGTCCTTGAAATTTTGGCTCCAATAAATTATAAAACTTTTCTATAGATTTGGATATTCTTTCAGTGACAGCTGCAAGGATAAAACTGCGTTTCTCTCTAGGTCTAGTTCAAGAGTATTTTTTATTTTTAAAGAAGAGATGTATAATCATAAAAATCAGCCCATTAATTAGCAAAAGGAAAACAGGTCTGAAATCAGAGGTGCCCAACACTTGAGCATTTCTGTAGCAGTTCGGTCATTTACTAAACACCTGTTAGATGGCAGACGTTTCACTGTAGTGGGAGATCAAATCTTTTGTCTAAACTATTCTTTCCAGATAGGAAAATGACTTCTTCCTATAAATGCCTTCTTCCTGTAATGTGTTCTGAAAACGAAGGTCAACTATCTACCTGTGCCGGGAATGGAAAGGGAGAACAGTTTACCAGAAGAATGGCTCCTGAATTTTCATTGCCTAAAACTCAGATTAACCCACAGGCCTACCACCAAGGCGATGTTTGTGGCCCTAGCAATGTTACATTGAACTCCAAAAACTTTTTTCTTTTGCAATACTGCAAAGTGGCCACCAGAGGGTACCAGCAACACAGACTTCTACTGATACACAGCAGGAAGCTGCTCTCTAACTGCCTTAATAAGGGAAAAGAGAGTTCTAAGGCAAGGGTTCCGGTTTTCCAGGAATTGATGCTCTAGGATATAAGGCGAGCTGAGCACTCTTCCCAGAACAAGAGGCCTGCCCGTATCGCAAGTGGTGCTCGTGTCAGGCCTAGGAAGCAGGGCAGCTCTAAGACACATTCTCTTCTGCAGGAAACCAAGACAGCGCTCAACTGCCACGGCAGTCAGCCCAGCTATGAAACATTGGACTTAAAATCGATTGGCCGTATCGGAGTCCTTCTGCTTGACTAATGTCAAAATGGAGGAGCCCCAAGAGTTACTAGGCAAGGGCCGATCGACAACTCGAAGCAGCTGTGTGTCTGTCTTAGTCGGGTAAGGCTCATTATTTAGAGCGTGACAGCAATCCAAGTTACATCAGCGACACCTGGAAAATTGTTAGCAATGAAAACTCCCAGGCCCCACCCCAGACCTACTGAATCAGAAACGCTGGGTGTGGGCAATGCACATTTTCAAAAGCTTGCCCAGTCGTTCCAATGCTCACTCAGGTGTGAGAACCATTGGTGCAAAGATCTGTGTTGGATAAAATGCAGAGCCTGGGTTGGGCTCCATAGAAAATATTGCTGTATTGATAAGTAATATCAGTCCCTGCCTAAACCGACAGTGAGCACTCAAACATACCCTGAGCACTAACTTAATACTCATGAGAATCAAGCAGGAATCAACACAGTCACGGCATAAGACCTGCCACATCCCGAAGGATAGAAAAAAAACTTGCTGGGAGAGGGATATTTTCTTAGTAGGTAATGATTACTCTTTCCAATAAAGAAAAGGAAATTGACAGGAACACTCGCTACTGGTTATAAAAGAAACAGGTGCTGGAATAGCACCATTTACGACTTAAACTCCTTATTTATACTTGGATTATATTAGGTTTACACAAGATAAAGCCAAATTGTCTTACGTGTTAACTCTGATAAGGGATGACAATGTTTGGAACTGACAGCACTGACTATGGTCTCTTCTTTGGCACTAAAACAGTGAGATATGAAGGTGATGCACATAAAACTGCATTGTTTTGGTCATTTTTTGATGTGTACAATGCTGCTTCACCATCTACTAAGTTGTTGACTATCTGCTAAGCGTCTGCTATAAATGTATCGGTGTGATACATTTTCTTAAGCAGTTGCTATATGCTGGGCATTAAGTTATTACAGTGACCTTAGTTCATTTAAAATAACTTTATGTGGTAATGATTATCATTATTACTATTAATTTAATAATAGTAAAAGATACTAAGTTTCGGTGTTTTTTTTTTAAGATTTATTTATTTATTTCTAGAGAGAAGAGAAGGAAGGAAAAAAGAGATGGAGAGAAACATCAATGTGTGGCTGCCTCTCATGTGCCACCAACTGGGGACCTGGCCCGCAACCCAGGCCTGTGCCCTGACTGGGAATCGAATTGGCAGCCCTTTCGTTTGCGGGCCAGCACTCAATCCACGGAGCCTCACCAGCCAGGACAGGTTCAGCACCTTTAAATAACATGCTGCAAATGCCTTGATTCCTAGAGAGGCTCAGACTTGGTTGGGGGCCTGTCTGTTGCAAACTATGCCGAGATAGAAAAGGTTGGCGAATCACATTGTTACAGAGTAGAGAGGAAAAGGCTGGCAGCTACAAAGAGCGCAGCAGGGCTAGGCCTTACCGCATCGATCCCGGATGACCAGGTTCCGGCCCTCCTTCAGGTGGATGGTGAGGAGGTAGGCGAAAGGGCTGGGGAGGTTGCTCAGGCCATCGCCGGCTTCCCCGAGGGCCTGCACAGAGGGAGAAGTAACGTCAGTTGTCTCGGACCCCCCAGAAGAGAATTTCAGAAACACTTGTACATGTAAGGGGAAGAGAATGGTCACTCCAATGGCCGATCTTCCAGTGCGCACCCCACTCACCCTGTGACTCGGTTCCACTGCTTGGAGAACGTGTTCTTTGTATTTCTCCCCAGGGGGTTCTATCAGAATTCAGAGGCGATCATGGTAATGTCGTCACAACATGAACTGTCCAAGGAAAGTTAGACAATTGCCATGCCCGCATCTGAATCACCCTTAACATCATTCACTGAGGGTGCGGTTCTCTATTCAATGGCTCCTGGTGGGGCCCCAAGAGGAGAAAGAACGCACAAAGGTGCGGCTGTGGGGCCAGTTCCCACGAACACGAGTCCACGCTTCCCAACTCGGATGTAAAACGTCTCTGTCTTCTCCCTACTTCTCACCAACGCTCATCCACTCTGCTACACCTCCTCCACATGGAACAAAAACATTTCCGTGCATAACCACTCAGCAGACAGCCTCCTGAGCCCGGATGTCCACCCACCATGCGGCCCTTGTCTGTGTCCACATGGGACACACTTTGCTCTGTCCAGTGCCCTCCCCTCCTTTCTACATCTTTCTTCATTCCCCGCCCCGCTTCTCACACGTACTCTCACGGTCTCACCTCCCCCTAACACAGCCCACTTCCCTCTCCAGACCCGCAGCAACTCCTCTAAGCCATCGCGTCCAATTCGAGTCTATTTTTGAATACGTATTAATTGAATGCAATTAAAGTTTTGAAGTAGACTTTTGCACTACTTCAAATGTTCGTCATCCCAAAGAGAAAGGACTGATGAAATAATTTATCATTCACCTATTTGACATTCAAGTTCATTGATTCTGTGGCTAGGTCACCCTTGACAGCCTTCTTTTGAAAGCTTCCCCATCCATGTCTCAAAGCACTTCAAAATGGCTTTGGCTCCTGTACTATATCACTCAATGTTATAGCTTCTCTGTATTTTTAGAAGAATCTATCCCAGGCTCACAAATCGATAGACACTGAATTAATCTTTGCCAGCTAAAATTTGCAAGGCCTGTCTTTGTCAAATGGATACAATTGCACATTCTTTAGAAATAAACGAGGCAAAGAAATACAGGTCTGAACAGGCAGCAAGAAATATTTATAATATTGACTTTAGTGTTTATTTGTTTTAAGCGAACGTCACTCACAGATTGTTCTTCAAAATGTTGGGATGTCATAGAAGCATTAAGATCACCACTTCCACAGAGCTTCTGTAATAAAAAGAAAAAAATAACCCTGCTTTAAAAGCAAAAAAAAATATCAACCTACAAGAAAATCCTCTATCAGGTCTTTCCCTTTGGGAAGCTGCTATTTGCATACTTAGTTTCTGGTGTGCGGCTGCCGTCCTGCATGTGTGGCAAGTCTTGGCAATTAAAGGCTTACTCAGTGGAGTCCATCTGGCCTCTGCCGTCTTAGTCATTGATCAGAGCATGGATAAGGCCAATCCTACTTCTCTGCTGGGGTGCCCGCACGCCCCCAGTTCATCAAACGCTTAGCAGGCACAACAGGGCCATCCTGCTTGGTCCCTCCAGGGGGGGCCTGCCCAGCCCCCTGCCATCAATGGGAGATGGCAGCTCAGGAACCAGAGAACCAAGCTTGTTAGTGACCTAGAAAACATTTCAAAATGGGGTCTGAAAGTTTGTCCTCAAACCACACTTTCATGAGTCTGGCATCTGTACAATCACCAACCAAAAAGTAGGAAATGCATATTATGAACAAACGACCTCAGCATGGGAGGTGCCTACATTTCCTAATTTAAATATCCCTCAGGTGCTCCGGAAATGATCCCACAGGGCAATGGAATGTGTGTGGCTCCGCAGTGGAAGGGAAATGAGCACATGGCCACCCGGCAGACCCGACCCCCACCCCACCAGTTCACAATTAACTGCACAAACTCAGGTCCAGAGGCACTCTGGGAGTTTGGGAAGGTTTCTGAGCAGGAAATGATGGAGCTGCCTGCACAGAAGGGCACAGTGGAGGGGAAATGAGCACATGGCCACCTGGCACTTGGGGTATGTTCTGGTTTGTCACTCTCATTAGCCAGGGCTGATTTCTTGGGTGAAACATAAGTGATTTCTCCCCGAAAGAACGCTGGTAGCTCCAAAGGAATGGGAAAATTTAAAGACCTGAAGCAGGCCAGCAGACATTGCTTGTGATCATGAAACCCTAGGGGTAGGAGTGGGGACCAGAGGCACTGTGGTCTTCAGTCCTTCCCATCCACAGCGACCATCGCGGAGGTCCGCGCACAATTCAGGGATCCTGCCTGGATCGCAGGCGGAGCTTCAGGCAGTGGGAGAACCTGGGTTCCCAAGCAGGAGGCCATTCCTCAGCCCCCAAGAGGGACGGTGAGGGGCTGCAAACCAACAGGACTCTCTGGTCTACCTCCTCTGCCTGCAGTGCGAGCAAGGAATGCTGCAACCAGGCAGAAAGGAGCCCAGATCACAAGTCAGCATGGAGCCTCCCAAGCCCTCACCAGAAACAAGAGAGGCACCTAACGTTCTTTACACCTTCCTCTTTCCCCACCAGTCCCAGGCCTAATGCCCCTTGACTGTGGATACATCACATTTCATTCCGATGAACTCACACAGGGTCATAGATGAGTTCAGACCCTTCGACCCTCCTCTAAGAGCCCCGGCTGTTCAGCCACTAGAGCATCCTGGCTCTGAAGGAAGTGCACCAGCCAGCCAGGAACACAGCCCTCACTCTCGATGTGGAGCTAAGCAGACAAGAAAGGCGGTGAGCCTTTGCTAAACACGCCCTGATCCCCGTTCTTAGTTTCTCCTCTGTGTTTTATGTTAAAAAAAAAAAAACAAAAAAACCCATGTGGGTTGGACAGAACTGTCTAAAGACCGTTTTATGATGACAATCAGAACCTTATTCAAATCCTCCAATGGCAAAGAGTTCTCCTGCCTTTGACACCACGGGCTATTATTTCCTGGAAGCTTAGCACTTCCTCTTCTGCCTGATTTTCAAAACCAAAAGAGGTCAACCCTGTCTCTATGGGCAGAGCCAACAATAGCCGCTGCTGTCTGATCCCCTGAGGCCTGCACAGCCCCATCAGTGTCTCCGATTCTACTAAATGCATCAGTGGTTGACTTAGACAAACCCGTTTGGAGGCAAGTTCACAAAACTACCCGTGCTGGGACCAGAATCCCTGGTTTAAGTGAAGGGATCATGGTGGCTGGGAATCTGCTGCTGCCCAATAGCATCAGCCCTCGTACTGGCCCACCATCTACCTGCTCCCAAGTCGGCCTCGCGGCGCTTGATGCCAACGTTAATTAAGTGGCAAAATTAGTCCCTATAACCACCATCACTACCATGCTATCAAAAATCAATGCAGAGCTTTTACTCAAATATGCAGTAAGTCTTCCACTTACAACAACATGGAAATTAAATGTGAAGCGTGACATTAATTCAACATTATGGCTGGTTTTACTCACAGAAAAGTCACAGAACTTAAAGTTATGGTTCCCACAGCTACCGTAACTGTCACACGCCATATATACACGCCAAGGAAGGGAAATGGTCACCATGAAGAAGAGCGAAAATGCCACCTAGACACAGGGGGCCCGGGTAGCTGCTGCTGGAAGGCACATAACCGAACATTCCCCACACCCTGCACAGAATAGGGCCTAAGGGGTCACTCGCTGAGTAAAAGTCACACTCTTTGCCTCTTCCTAGTAAAATTAGTAACTACATCCGTGAGTTTCCATTTAAAAAAAGGATAATATTTTTCTCATCAGGAATCCCTGGTACCCCGCTATCATTAGAAGGTGTTCTTGTGCTGTTCTATTGTGAACAAGCACAATCAAGCACTCTGGGTCTTTCATTGTTTTTACTTAAAAATAAAACAGTAAAAATTTTTTTTCATGCGTGTATATAGTGCTGTGACTTTTAACACATGTATGTACTTGTGTAACCGCCACCACAATCATGACACAGAACAGCTGTCAACCCCCAAAAACTCCTTCGTGCTTTGCCACTGTGGCCAGTTGTCCACCCCTAACCTGTTGGTGCCCCATGATCTGTTACCAACAGAAGTTTCGTCTTTTCCAGAATATCATATAAATGGATTCATACAGTACACAAATTTTTGATGCTGGAACCATTCCCTCAGCACAATGCCCTTAAATCCATCCACAGTATCTTCTGTGTAAATAGTCCATTTCTCTTAGCCCGGGCTGGTGTGGCTCAATGGATTGAGCGCCGGCCTGCAAACCAAAAGGTATCTGGTTCAATTCCCCGTCAGCACACATGCCTGGGTTGCAGGCCAGGTCCCCAGTTGGGGATCGATGTATCTCTTACACATCGATGTTTCTCTCCCTCTCTTTCTCCTTCCCCTCCCTTGTCTCTAAAAATAAATAAATAAAATCTTTTTAAAAATAGCTCATTCCTTTTTATTGCTGAGTAGTATTCCCTCGTATGAGAGTAATATAGTTTGTTTATTCATAAAGCACTGGTTTTGATAACTTCAAATGAATTGTTTGCAAGGACATAAACAGGCAAAGACAAGTAATGTTGAATATCGTCAATGCTAAAAAGTCTTACTACGGCAAACTGTAATTTAGATATATAGCATTAACGTCTTGGTGTGAAAATGAGTATGAAATTAGTCATCTTTCACAATTCTCACCACTGCCTTCCAGGTAAGTGGGGGTCAGGAGGGTGTGTGTTTAATGATAGTGAGTTTGCATTGGTATTTCCATTCTACCTTGCTAAATTGACACTTATGGGAAGGTAATACACACTTTGCATTTTCTTTTGAAGAGAATACCCTAGCTGCAAGAATGCAAATGTATTAAAATTCAGCAGGATATGGAGAGATGTTAGACTGCATGGATCACTTACTTTAAAAAAATTCTCCTCTCGTCACCAAGGACTTTAAGAGGAAGACACTGATGTAAATAAACAACATTTTCCTTTTGTGTATGCTAAATGTGATCGTGTACAAATACAACCATCCTTGTGGCTGAAGGATCTTACCGTGAAGTACACACAGGAAGCGCAATGATAAACAGTCTAACTCATCACTGGCTTTTAACACTTCAGTGGAAGGAGACAAAACCCACATCCAGGAAAGCTGAATAAGAGTAAAAATTTGGCTGAGAAGGTCACTTACAAAGTCTTTGAAAAATATTCCACTGAAGTGTGTGAATATCGCAAACGATACATATAACACATATTTAGTTAATTACCTAACCCACATCTAGGTTGTTGAGAATATGAATATTTTACATCATAAACACAAACACCCACAGGGCAAAGGAAGTAACAAAATGAGGAAAGAGAATCAGATGCCTAGACAGACCATCTGGCAATGCTTGGACACAGTGATAGAATCAAAACAATCTACATGGCAATTAGAGGTCAAAACTGGAATGTCTGTTCAGAAAAATTCAGGTCTACCAGATGGCTGAGTTTGATCACAGTCAATTTTTATGCAATTTTTTGGATGAGTATTAATCGTATTACATGTTTAATTTTCCCTTATCCCCAAGATTGTTCTCTAAAAGTGATTTCTCTGGAAGACTATCAAATATACAAAATATAAGTCATGCATGTGTACATGTATGGCCATGTCTGTGTACATATATCCTACTAAATCATGTGATGATATAAAACAGTGGTCAGCAAATTACAGCCCAACACATGTTTTTATAGGTAAAACACAGCCCCACCTATTTGTGTATATATTGTCTGTGGCTGATTTCCCACTACAACACCAGGTTCAGTAGTTGCAACAGAGAGTCTTTATGGGCTATAAAGCTGTAGATACATGTTATCTGGCCTTTTAAGAAAAACTTTGCCAACACCTGGTATAAAACTTTCTTTCCGTATTTGGTAATATCTATCCATGAACTTCCATGGACTTTTTTCATGCTAATTAGTAGATACTTTAAAAAAAATAACGGCTTCCTTAACATTTCTTTATGACTTGATAATTTACAAATATACACTTGTACTGACTTCTTGTAAGGGGTCCATGAACTGTCATTAGTGTCATCAGTTTACAGATAAAGAAGCCAGAGCTAAGAGGTTAGATGGTTGTCAAAAGGAAGCATGAGAGCCCTTCACTTGAGTATCCTGGGTGTCCACTCTTTCCTGTGCCACAGCTGTGCCCAGAACCAGGGGAATCCATTAATGGACCACCTCGCCGGACATGCTGAGAGGCAGCACTGCAGAGTAGCAGGCAAAGCTCTGGAGCCAGAAAGACCTGGGTTCAAATCCCACTTCTGCTACTTTCTAGCTTTCTGTCCTTGAAAAGTGTACTTGAAGTTCATGGCATAGGAACATCTCTAAAAGGGGCAAATGAGATGCTTGTAAGTGTCAGGAGAAAAATTACTCCATTGAGAGGATACCTACTGAGCACCTTCTCTGGGCCAGACACTGTACTAGGCCGTATGTAGAGTGAACCAAATGGATGCGGTCAAATGAGATAATATTTATGTTGCACTTAGCAGAGTTCCTTTCACATTAGCTCTCAGTAACTGGTATTAGATCGCTGTTGCTATTCTATTATTATTAATATTAGCGCCATTGTTTGTGATTAAGATAGTGGATATGTTTGGGAAGAGGAAGGAAAAAATAAACTCAGTGAAGGGGGTCAGCAACCCAAGTCCCTCCCTTTATTCTGAGCACCCCCCAGCACTGTTGGTTACCAGGCCCAAGATAGAGAAGTGGCTGATGAAGCCCCTCCCACGCACAGCTCATCAGCCGGAGCACACTGCCTCCACGGGGTCTGCAGCGGGTATGCGGCACCCCTGGGCACTGCCCACCCACGCTGCCCTGCCCAGGAGCACCACAGCATGGAGCCCACAGGCTCCCTTTGCATCCTGCTCGTTCCATACCCCAGGTAGTTGCTAGAGTCCAGCAGAGTCACCTGGCGGGATGGGAAAGCCATGGGACGTGGCCTCAAAAGTCACTGGCATCTGCCATGGCCCCTCACCTCCTCCTCTCCCCTTGCTGTTCCTGAAACACCCCAGGCACAGTCTGCCTCCCTGCAGCCTTCACACCCGTGGTGTGCCCTCCAGAAATGCCTTGTCCCCAGAGAGGCAGCAATTTGCTTCCTCTCCCCTGTAGCTCTTTTCGTAAACGTTATCATCTCAGAAAAGGTCTTCCCTGACCATTCTGTTAAAAATGGAACACCTCTGCCCAGCAGTCCCAAGCTCCTTTTCTGCATTATTATTTCTCCATCAAATCGATCACTTGCTGAATATATCTGTAGTGTGCCACTGTTCCAAATGGGATCTTCAGGAGAAGGTGGATGTTCGTCTGCTTTGTGAACTGCTGTGTTTCTGATGCCTAGAACAGAATTGGCACATAGTAGGTGCTCAACATATGGGAAGAAGAGAGAGAAGGTGAAAAAAGAGGCCAAGTCCTCAAAGAAACCTGGGATATGGCTGATACACTTGCCTCAGTAACACCATGACGTTGAGTAATGATTTTGGGCAATGAAACAAAAATAGTAAAAGAACACATAATTGATGTAGAGAGCAACTGATATACTTGTTTCATTTGGGGAGCTGTAGGTTGTCTCTTCTCTTCTGTGGTTTGTCATTTTGCTTCTCTGTGATCCCTAAACTAAAGCTCTGTGGTCGCCAAGTGGCTTCTACAAACATCCTGATAGGATCCTTTTCTAAACCACTGACCTCATCCACATAAGCTAGCACCAAAGCTGGTCGTTTAGAACGCCAACTGCCAAATCAAACGTTAGGGAAGGATGTGCCCCATGGTGAGGTGACGTGGGTAATGGGGAGGTAATGATCCTTCCACTCAGGGTTATTAGTTATTGACAGTCAGAAGCCCATGAAATAACTATAATTATCCCTGCTTTTCAAGGGCACAGTGGACACAGAAAAACATATGTCTTCTTCTGAGGATCAACTTTTGTTGATCACCAACACTGACTTCTCATTTGAGACTGTCAGTATATCAAAGCCAAGAAGCCCACTAATTTTTTCTCATTAGTTAATAAGTAAAAAGAAGTGGAGATTAACGAAGGTCAACTCTTCGACGCGTTACCTCTTTCATACTGAACTATTTTAATAATTCCCTTACTTTGTATTTTGATTAGTGGAAAGACATACTTCAAATTTATAAATACAGGGAAAACGATAAAACTGTTACAGAAAGGATTTCAGAAATGTTAATGGTCATGAAAAAACAGTTAAGTAAGGTTATTTAATGGGTGGTGGTATCTTAACACAGTAACGCTTTCAAAAGCATCTGGCCACAGCATTCTCTGGCACAGCCACGGTGCCAGTCCCCAATTAAACTGAAATATATGACATAAGTAATAGGCTTTCCTTTCCAAAGTGAAACCAGAAATCCCAGGTGCATAACCAGTATTCTATGCAATTATCACACTAACCTGGAATATAGTGTAGAAAAATCAACCCCCTTCTTCAACATCCCAAACTATTTCAATGTCATTAATGGAGGAATTTTTAAAAATCTGATTAAATAGATCATCAAATCATGGCGTAATACTCTGGTGACTGAATTTAAACTAAACTCTCCTGAGAAATACAAGGTTTGTCTCATAACTATATTTGGCTGTTTTAGCTCATTGAAATACTAAAGCTTTGTAAAATCAGTGAATTGATAAGAATTTGTTTACTTTATCTTTTGAAAAGATTTTATTTATTTATTTTTAGAGGGGGAAGGGAGGGAGAGAGGGAGAGAAACATCAATGTGTGGTTGCCTCCTGAGCACCCCCTACTGGGAACCTGGCCAGCAACCTAGGCCTGTGCCCTGACTGGGAATCGAACCAGCAACGCTTTGTTTCACAGGCCAGCATTGAATCAACGGGGCCACAAGAGCCAGGGCTAGTTGTTTTGTTTTTTGTTTTTTTGTTTTTGTTTGTTTTGTTTTGTTTTGTTTTTAGAGAATGTAAGTAAAGTTGCCTACAGATAAGTAGGCACACACATAAATGAGTACACATGCATGTGCACATGTATGAAATAGGAAGTTTAGACTCTTTGGAAGTCAATATATTCATACATTGCTTAGGACTAGGGCTATGCATGTTTTGTCTGTGGTAGGACTGGTCTAATAGAGCGACATATCTAGGAACAGAGAGACAGACACACACTAAAGCAAAATTTAGAGGAAAAGTTAAGCTCTTACTTTCTTCGCCAAGAGGTGGAAAAGGGAAAACTCATCCACTAGGGCTCTTAATGCCTTAAAGTGTCCTAGAAAGGTTCCTTGTAATAGTTTTACAATACGCAGAGGTCAACCCCAAAACTGATGGGAACACTCAGAGCAATCAATACCCCCCTCATTTAAATTCTTGAAAATGACATTCTCTCCCTCCAAGCGAACCACGAAAATAACTCAAAATCAAATTTTCCAAGGGCACTCAATGCAATTACAAAGAGAGCAAGCCACAGGGCTGTGCCCAGGCCGGGCCTCACCTCCAGCTCTTCTGGAGCATCCTCTGCCAGTGGCGTCTTGTGGAGCAGGTCGAAGACGCCGTTGCTGGAAGCCCTGCGGTCCTCGGCGGGCGAGGCGAAGGTCTCTTCAGAGTCTGTATCTGCCCCATGGAGACGGCCCGCTTCTTCCTGGCTCCAGTCCAATTCTTCTTCAGACTGTTTCAAGGAGCTACTGCTACTCTTGGGAAAGATCCCTGCCGTGGACAGGCTGCTGGGCACGGAGGTGTAGGACGACTGGGCCCCTGAGTAAGGCCGGCCCTCCGGGGCCAAGGCCTTGGCCTCCAGGAGGTCAGGGACGGACAGGCTGAGGCGGCGGTCCAGTTGATGCCTTTCCCTTAAGCCTAGGGGTTTGTTTGGGCTCTTTTTCACCTTCTTCTTGCTCAGGTTGAGGAGCAAGGGCCTGGTCCGCTGTTTGAATGAGCCCCAGACAGACGGTTTATCCAGATCCATGGCTGCATGAAGACCCCAGAAGTTGCTCTGCAAGAGAGACTCTCTCCTCTGAAGGCTCCCGTGACTCCTAGAAACCAGAAAGTGAGGAGAAAGAATGTGAAACTGCTCTGTGGGGTCAGGGCCCATCGAAGTGGAAAACATGACTCAAAAACCGCACACATGCCAGTAAGCAATCAAAGTTGAAACGTTTGCTCGCTAATGTCTACAAAGATCAGGAAAAACTTACCTAAAGAACTGAATTTTTAAAGATTTTTTTAAAAATTAAAGTAGTTATAGAAAAGTTACAGCGATTAATGAGACTTAGGTTTGACACATGGAAAAGGGCTTCGTAGGAAGCATGCTCTTTTGTTTCTGGCTTATTTCACTCCGCATTATGTCCTCTGGGTCGATCCATGTTGTCGCAAATAGAAGTGTCTCCTTTTTATGGGTGAATAATACTCCATGGTATACACAGGGACTGGCAAACGTAGGTTTACAGTTGTGAGTATGCAAAGCACAGAGTTCATTCTCGTATTATTACGTGTTTATGTATTGTTTTCCAGGTGAACAACTGTAAACCTACGTTTGCCCACCCTGTGTATGTACCGCATCTCCTTTCTCCATTCACCCCTCACGGGGCACTTAGGTTGTTCCTCTGTCTCAGCTATTGTAAATCATGCTGCAATGACCCAGGAAGTGCCGGCGTCACTTTAAGCTTCTGATTTCATTTCCTTTGGATAGATACCCAGAAGCTGGACTATATGGCAGATCTCCTTTTTAATATTTTAAGGAAACTCCTTGCAGTTTTCCATAATAACTATACCAATTTATATTCCCACCAACAGCATACAAGAGTCCTCTATTCTCCACACCCATCAGCGCTGGGAGCAGAATCTCTTTAAAATGAAGAAACCTGGGCTACCCGGCTCTCATTTATTGAAGGAAAACAAGGGTTCTGCTTCTTCAAACCGCTAAGGGCAGGCCAAGGTCTTTACAGGAAATGGCCCCGAGCCAAAGAGCGCAATGCAAGTTTCAATTATGATGGTTTTAAACCAGACACCCTCTCCAGCTAGCTGCCGCCCATGGGCCAGATGGAAAAGAACAAGCCTTTGAGGTGCCAAACCAAAAGTTTCTGATTGGACCTGGACCTCAACCACTATCTGAATAAGAAACACAAAAGAAGAAAGAGGTGGGGAAATAACAACAGCATGCATTATCATTACGTATATTAGCGTTCTCAGAGACAGAGGCTCATGCAGTACTTCCCCAAGTTCTCCGAGCGTAAATGTGATGTCCTGTTTTCAACACCATTCAGTGAAAAGAATTGCCTACATCTCATTTTGAGTTCTTCTGGGCACAGAGGAGTTTTTGGAAGTACAGTGCTTAATTTCTAAAACATATAGGATTTTCTTATCTTTGTGTTTGACTTGTGGCTTAATTCCTAAGGATTAAGTCAGAAAAAAAAATTTCCCATGTTTTCATTCCTCTGCAGTTGAAGGCTTTCTTTACAGCAGAGTTTACAGCTAATCCTGCAGCTGTGTGTCAATTAGCTGAAAGTGACTCACTGCACTGGCTAGATCTCTGTTCTTCTGGGTGACAGAACTCAATAAAGAGAATGAGAGAGGGAAATGCCAGGATTGAGTCCAGCCTCGTCAAAGAGTTCTAGGGCCTGGAACTCAGAAGTCCAGATTTTCAGAGAGATTCTGAGCTCCGTGCTGGCTTCTCTGTCTTTGAGAAGCTAAAGTGGAGAAGCCGAGTTGGCCACTGGGCACCTGACGGTGTGGGGCTCAGAGAGAGGCATCAGGTCTAGAGATAGACTTTGGAGAGCCTGGCGTTCAGACGATAGCTGGAGGCAGAGCAGTGAATGGGACTGCCAAGAAGAGAATAAAACTGAAAAGACAGAATGAGCTTGAAGGAACTCCAGCACTTACGATCTGTTGCAGCAGGATAAACTTGCAGAGGAGAATTAAAACAAAAAACAAAAAACAACAGAGAGGGGTAGAGGTGGGAAAAGAGTGTTGTCACCTTATGACAAACAGAACTCAAAACAGAGAAGACAAAGGAAGGACATTTTGTAGAGGAAGTGGTCAAGAACCTCATGAGCTCTTACCAGTTCATTACCATCAGCCCTGAGCCCACTGACGTGGTAGAAGAGAGACTATTGGTAACGTTGGTGTGATTTGTTTTGGTGGCATTAGAGGGTGGAAAGCCTGACTGAAATAGGTTCTGAAGGGAGAGGAGAAAGAAGAAATGGAGGCAACAGATTAGGTGACTTGCAAACAATAGGGCTGAAGGAGAAGAGGCACGCAGGTTGGCCACGCTGAGGGGATTCGATCATGATGCGAGCCAGACAAGGGCCCTACTCTAAATGCCAAAGGCACAAGCTTCTTTGATGACAGTGATCAATCAATAATCACCTGACCAAACTGCTACTCATACACACAAACACATACACACAAACATGAACATACACATTTTCTTGATTCCTTTATCAGAATATTTATTACCTGTCACGCAAATAGAGACCGAAGTTTTGAAAACCAAACTGTGCAATAAACAATCCCATCAACACACACCGACCAGAAGACAAGGTAATTCACTTCTTCATGTAACTGTACTTAATGGCCCCACAGTGAGCCGCTCACACAGAGCCCTTAACCAGCTCCTACATTAGAAAGCAACGGCCAAACCTCAAATGCCCGGCCCAACATTATCAGCACGTTCAAAGGTTTCCTTGGCCAGGAATTACCGGCAGAAAGAGAATGTCCAAAGTATCTTTAGGACTTCCCTGTAAAGGGAAAGCATGAGGGGAAACTGTTAACTTGCAGTAAAAATCTTGTTATCCCAACTGGGGAAATCGCATACTGCAGAAGCTATTTTAGGTGATTAAATGCAGTGAAAAGGTTAAAGACATACTAACTTAGAAAAAAGAAAATCTTATACACATCTCCCCACACAATTTCTGTTGTGCACAACAGAGCATGTACAATAAATTGTGTATATCTGTGAGCCACTAAATTAAGACCAGCTTTTCCAGAATACAAAGCAAAATCTTTCAAAGAAATGGCTGCACCTGTCAAAAGCATGCAGGAAATTTGACATGCAAATACCTAGCTTTTAAAGACATCTCACACCATTTTATTATTCCTGTACTTCCAAAACACCAAGCCAATAGTCCTTTTTATAAAATAACCTTTTGAAGCATTTCCCAAATCCATGCCTGTATCAACAGAAAGAGCAAACGCCTATTGTCCAACCATAGAAAAATTACACCTTCTCCAAGCAGACAGGAAAACTCAATAATTCTAATGCACTATAGATCATTTTATTGATGGCCTCTAGAGGTTTGCAACAGGTTTCCAAACACATACTCAGAGATAATCACACGATGGTCCCCTTAAGGCAGCCTCATATAAAAATAAAAGGGTTATGCTGTTCCCAACTAAAAGTGATGGGAGAATCACGTGGAAGAAACAAAGTAAAAGCAAAAGAAATCTCAGTAGGTCGGGTGATGGTAAGGGAAAGAGCAAGCGCGAAGGAGAAGGCGTGACTGTGGAGAAGCAGGCTGCCACTTTCCTCTCATGCATGAAGAAAGCCCTGTCAGATACGGTGAGCACAAAAAGGAAGTGCGGGCGAGAGCCACATGAATGTATGTAGGGGAAGCGCCTTCCACACAGAAGACAGAGGAAGCGCGTGAGAACCAGAGCAGCGCACGTCTGTCAGGGATGCTGAGAAACAGCAAGGAGGCACGTGTGATGGAGCAGGGCCAGGAGGGAGACGGGTGGGAGATGCGATCAGAGGGGAGCAGGAGGTCGGACCGGGCAGGTCCCGATAGGCCGCCGTGGGAGCCTTGGGTTTTACATTGAGTGGGCTAGAAAGCCACTGGAGGGTTAAAACGTGTGCCAATGATTCCTTACCAGCTTCCATGATGGACCTAACCCTTGTGCATGGGTTTACATACATGATCAGCAATGTTCAAAGTGATCTCATGTGCATTTTTATTTATTTTCACTCCAGTTGTAAGATGAGGAAAATGCAACTTATTCGTGTTCATAGGGCTGCAAACTGAAACCCAGGCCTGTCTAGCTCAGAGCCACTCAACAGAAGGCATTACCTGCACTTGGAACAGGACAGTTCTTCGTTGTATGGGACCGGTCTACGCGTTGTGGGTGGCAGATATCAACCTCAGTCTCCATCTCCTTCAGTCTCCATCTCCTAAGTACATGCCAGCAAGGTCCTTTGTCATTGTGACAACTGAAAACATCCTGCGCATCTTCAACAGTCCCCAACAGGGTCACTACCTACACTAGCTGGAACCACAGGTACAGTCACTACACACCCCAGCACGTTGCTGTGACCCTTGTCGTAGTCTGCTAGCAGAAAGCAGAGAACTGGAACATTTATAAGAAAGACAAATGAATGAGTGAAACACTTTAAAGTTGGACTATTTTCTCCACTGAAACCATTTGTTTTGGATACCCAACCCTTTTGTTCCAAACTCTAAACAACAATATCACTGTCAAATATCAGAGGTGGAACACAATTGCCCAGGCCAGAGAATAACATAACATTCTTCAGGTAGAATTGTGCTTTGAGCATCCTTGGAGTAAGAAAACAATTGCCTGTGGACTTGGGAATAAAATGGATTCTGTAGAAAAAGAGTGAGATTTTGTTCAGAACTCAAGGTATTTTAAAATATGCCTGAAGGAAAAGCTAACATAAAATACTACGAAAATGTCTACAGTGATGCATAATCATACACATATGAGCCTGATAAATTCGATCCTTATAAAAGCTATGTCCGCAAGAGACTGCTTACATAAGAAACACTGAAAATTCAAACTGAGACATCAGTTTTCAGGAAATCTTTATAAGGCAGTCCTTCAAAGGATATGACTCAAGAGACTCAAAGTTGTACAAGTAAGTCTATGTTATTATCTAAGGCATTAATTATGCTTAGTGGAATTTCATGAGAACTTGAAAAATAGCAGAATGGGGAACCAAGCCCAAATTATTGTAATGCAATCATTAAAAAGATATGACTCAAGATAGCCAATGCTGTAGGGATAAAGCTATATTATTATCTGC